AAAGCAGGTGGCTATTGGGAAACCAGAAGGCATTCAGGGTGCCTCCAGAAGCGGTGAATGCTCCAACACTGGAAGTTTTTAAGAAGAGACTGGACAGCCATTTGTCCGAAATGGTATAGGGTTTCCTGCCTGAGCAGGGGGTTGGACTAGATGACCTTCAAGGTCCCTTCCAACTTTACTATTATTATTATTATTATTACATACATACATACATACATACATACATACATACATACATACGTACATATGTACGTATGTATGTACGTCTTTCAGTTCTTTTGAGAAAGAACTGACTCGCTTAGCTTTTAATAATGTCACTCCATGGTATGCTATCCTTTGCACACCACTTTCTGCCTTTAGCTGTAGAAACAGGCAGGTCTGCTTTGTGTTAATATATTAATATACTGATTACTTCTGGAGTTATTAAAAGCCCATTGAGCAGACACATTAAGTCACTTGCAATTTCTCCAGATAAAAATACCTCAGGTCAAATTTTGACCGCACAACTTGTTTCTGGAATATAGTACTTCTGATTATTTGGAACTACATAAAATACTGAATTTAAAAAAAAAAATCCCACCAGAGAAAAGGGGCTTTTGAGATAAATGTGCCTTCAACATTTAGGATTGTTTTTTTAAAAACAAACAAACAAACGAGAAAATGGATTTTCATGGAGTTATGGAAGATTCTATCATGTAAACCAGGGTCCCCAACCTTGGCAACTTTAAGACTTGTGGACTTCAACTCCCAGAATTCCTCAGCCAGCTTTGCTGGGAGTTGAAGTCCACAAGTCTTAAAGTTCCCAAGGTTGGGGACCCTTGATGTAAACCACCACCACCCCTTGCAATCTGAAATGGTATAGCCAGACATTTCTTTATTCAACCTAACATGCTAGTAAGAGAGAAACTCGGTTCTTACCACCTGTCCTTAGAAAAGCAGAGCTCACGAAAAGCAGGGGGGTGCGAATTTCACTTTCTGAGGAACCACCATGATTTCCTGTTTCAGACATGCCATGGTCACCACAAACAACAAGTAAATTGGGCAAAGTTCTTTTCTCTCGTTCCTGAATATGAAGAAATTTTCAAAGTTTTAATGGAATCGTTTAACATTTTATTATCAAATCTGTTTCTTCATCTCGCAGATTTGAGCCAAAAAGATTAGGATTCTCAAGAACGATTGCCACACTCCCAAGTAAACTGATAAAAGATACCACAGCAACCTCCCCCAATCCTTGTTAGGAATATATTATTAGGATTTCACACAGCACTATTTATTTAAATAAGAAACGGGATCCCACCTGGCTTGTATTTTCACAACCTTTAGCTTGGCTAAGCAGAATGCATCTCACATATACCAAGTGTCTACATACAAATATGCATTCAAAAATAGGCTTATGTAGATCCCTTGCATTATATGCATTAATATTACATCAATAGAAAACTTAAGTGCCAATCAGGTCCCCAAAGTTTCCTACATTTCAATTTTTTTCCTGACTACAAAAGAAATATTCAAATTGTTCCTAATTTTGTTCTGCTAAAATAAAGCCAATGTGCAATAATACAACAGAAATTTCAGAACTTAAAATAAAATATTGTTTCCATCTCCTGCACATCCTATGGCCAATGTATTCAAAAGAGCAATATCAACATATTTCATTTAGTCTACAATTCCAAGTGCCCGGGACTAAAAACTGGAAATGTGCCCCAATAAACACAATATGAGACTTGGTCTCAATTGATCATTTACTTGGTCAGGCCGTAAGATAAAATGCATCTGTAGATTGAAGTTGGAAACTTCAGATCTTCCTGTTTTCATGATCAAATGCATCTTCAAAACGTAAGCATCTCACCTTGGAAAGCAGAGACTTATGAATCTTTGAGATAATGTTATCCATTTCAGAAAGCTTTGGTCCTATCAAAGGACTGTTTGGTCCAGCCAGATGACCAATATGATCCAATCCTAAATAATGAAGAATGAGTATATCCCAGTCTTCTCTTTTCAGTACATTATTCAAATGTCTAGTAACATTGTTGTCAACCTTAGTGAGAAAGAAAAGCAGAGATATATTAAGCCATCACCTATTCCGTTCATACGGTATGCAGAATTAATTAACAGCTCTTCTAATTATAAATTTTCTGATGGAAGGGAAGTATGTACAATGTAATGATTTCCCGCTTAGCTCAAAGCTTCCTACAACATTAAGGGAGCAAGTTAAGAGAGACGGCTAGGCTGGATATCTCTTAGATATGCTTCACAGCAAACCATTCAAACATGCTGCCTTTCAATTATCATTCTTGAAGGTTCCAGTTGCCTGAAATCAGAACAATCTGCAACTTATGAGTTTAGGATGCTAATCCTCATGGCATCAATTCGATGCTAGCTTGAATAGATTTTATAGGTAATACTATGTCAAGCACAGACTCACTTTGGCCAGTGAAATGGACGGCATGGAAATTTAATAAATATAATAGATTACATCACATCAATCACATTTAAAAAGTGAGTCCAAGTGGCAAGTAGTATGTCACATGCTTTGGAGACAAAAAGCCAAAGGTTACTAATCTAGCATTACCAGTGACAAGAATACAAATGAATAAACATTACAATAAATGTTACTGACTTGGCTGCAGCAGACAAGAAAGCCAGGCCTCTTCATTGGCTCAGCTGGGGCCAGAAGCCATCTGATTCCCTTTGCCTCCCAGAATAAATTCTATAGTGACTTCCCATTGGAACAATGTGAAATATTAGAACCAAAATGAAAGTCTGAATACTTATTGGGATACCAAATTAGGAAAAGCTAAAAAAGGAAGAAGGTGTGTTGGATATGTTCGCTTCCCTGAGTTATTTGTAAAAATAATACAGGTAGTCCTCGACTTACGACCATAATTGACCATACTTTCTGTTGCTAAGCAAGACAGTGGTTAAGTGAATTCCCCCCCCTTTCTTGTCAAAGTTGTTAAGTAAATCACTGCTGTTGTTAAGTTAGTAATACAGTTGTTAAGTGAATCTGGCTTCCCCACTGATTTTGCTTGTCAGAAAGTGGCAAAAGGTGATCACATGACCCCTGGGACACTGCCACAGTCATAAATATAAACCAGTTGCCAAGCATCTGAATTTTGATCACATGACCATTGGGATGCTTCAGTGGTCGTAAGTGTGAAAAACAGTTGTAAGTCTCTTTTTTCAGTGCCCTTGTAACTTCGAACAGTCACTAAATGAATGGTTGTAAGTTGAGGACTCTCTATAAAGTCAGGAAATAAACAAAAAACAACAAGTCACCTTGCTTCTTTTGGAGAACAATAACTATAGGCAATTCTGCTAAGTAAATTATAAAAGAGTTTGGGAAAGACCTGGGCCTGGTCAACTCTCAGTCAAAATAAGGAAGAACAATGATATATATTATATTGTCTATATAAAGTGCTGGGAAAATTGCCCATATTAGGGGCTCTTTGACAAGTCTATTAATATCACATTTGGAACTAGGAGAGGCAACGTTTTAAAAAATTGTTTTAATTGAACTATAATTAACAAACCTTTTTAGGTAACTAAGCTAACATAAATCCAAGATGCATAGAGAAAAAATATATAGAACATACAAACCAATCTACTAAAATGTAAACAAGCAGGTACTATACATGGACAAATTTACCATATATGCAAAATATTACCATATTACAGTCTATTGAGGTAAACCATAAAATCCATTCAAATTTGATAAAATAGTAGTTGCCTCTATGTCTCATTATTTTTGACTCTGTATTTTTTTTTCTAATGTAGCAACTGAAGAGATATTTTTAATCTCATCACAACTATTAAGTTATCTAGAGTTTCCCAATGTTGGGCAATTATTATCCTAGATGCTAAAATTAGATAGAAACTAAGCTCTTTTTTTTTAAACTTGAAGTTTGGTCCTGTAAATAAATAAACAAATAAGTCTAACTTTGGGAGATTCAATTCTTTGTTCAGTGACACTTATACCCTTAAAATTTTTACAAAGTAAATAGCTTTATTGCATGACCACCACCAATAAAAAATAACTTTTTTTTACTCCTTCTAAAATTTGGAAGAATAATTTGTGTGTGTGTGCGTGCGCGCGCACGCATGCGCGCCAATCTAACTGAAGCCAAGCACCAGCAATATATAATCTTCCACTTCAGTTTTTACATTGAGGCTGAGGTGAATCTACTCACTTTGAACAATTTCCACCAATGTATCACCTGTATAGATTTACCCAGAACAGATTCATAAGCTTTCTTTAAAGCATGGGATGAATATCCTATTTCCATTTGCAGTAATATCCTATTAAATTTTTCTCTTTGGTTTGTTCTAAGTGGTTAAGTATTAAATTCTCAAATTTGGTAAGAGGCCATGTTTCAACATACATGGCTCCAACATTCTAAGTCTATGAACATAGTGTTCAGCACCCTATTGCTAATCTCTAATTTAAAGTTTATGATAGTGGGGAAGATAGTGATTTATTATTGTGACAATTTAAAAAACCTGAGACTTTTTAAAAAGATATATATTTTATGTGACCTGTCTAACTTATGTAACTAGGTGAGATGAACATTTTGTAAAATAAAGAAATAATGATTCTAGAAATAACCAATGTATGACTTTTTATAAAAATACATTCATCTGACCAGCAGATAATATATATATAATAAAATGTTTGCATCAGTGGTGATATGCACAGAAGTACACATACCGTATATATTCTTATAGCCACTCCCAGACAGTGACTTACCTCAGTGTAGTCTGAGACAAAAAAAGATGTTGTCCCATCATATTCAACAAAATGCTTTGGAAACAGCCTAATCCATGTATCATCACCATAGAATATTATTCTTTTCCCAGCAACTTTGGCCTGCCATATTAAGTTGTCTTCCATCAAGGCTGGAGAGTTAAGGTTCATGATTATATCAATGAAACCTGGGATGCTACCAGTCATAAGTGCCTGCAGAGGAATCCACCAAAAGGAAAGGAGAGATGGATCAAGCATTAGATGTGGTTTCAATAGAACTAAAACCTGACATTGGACAAGGACCCACTTCTGCATGTGCATACATAAACATTGCAGACAGTCAACACCTTTAAGCAAATGGCTACCCTTAATTCAGTATAGGTGGCAGGACTACAAGTACTGAATTCAGGACTATGGTACTGAATGTAATGCCCTTGGTATGGGTAACTTGAGTACTCCAAGAAGCTGGTGATTTTTTCTCTCTCACTGTTTTACTCACCTCAGATATCATACCAGAGCGTACCATCACAATCTGAGAAAAAACACATTGGAGCAACACTAAAACCATCGGAATTGCTACCACCCGCCACGCTCATGAGTTCATCGAAGCCTGGCATTCCACAAGAAATTCCATCAACAGACACATTGATCTACAACTAGCCTACAAATCCCTCAGAATCCAAACCAACCGCACAGCCAATCAGAGACAGCACCGACCCTCAACCAACCCACGCAAGCCCCCCACCAGCAGTTCACCTCCCAATGACCCTGATCTGATATAACCTCTCCATCACAAGATCCATCACAAGCCTCTCACTGATGATTCATACCTGACCCATCAGAAGACCCTCACAAGACCCACACCCACACCTGAAGCCCTTATAAACAGAATACTGACAATGACATCCCTAAACTCTGCTGAAGATGTTACCTAACCTGGTAATGAAACATTCATAAACTCGGAGAACGAACCTTCATCCTCAAAAAAAACTCATGTTGTCAAAAAGAACATATTTCTGCAATAAGCATTAAGCATACTGCTTTATGATATGTACGGTGTATAGATTTAGCAGAAGACAACGTATCACTCATCAAGAAATATTTATTTCCAAGATACCAGAACTTACTTTAATTCGAGGCATAGTGACAGTAGGCGCCTT